TAGTTTATCGACTTCGTTGCCTTTAGTTTTGAAGCTATGCTACTTCTATTAAGGAGTCATCGGGTTGCGGACTTCCCTGAATGTAAGTGTGAACTTATTGCAACTTCATGAAGCATTGTTCTTCGTACTCTCTCGCTAACTTTATCATTGAGATCAGGGAAAGCCCGCAACCCGCCCCCATACAAATCTGTGAGCTCATAAATCTTTGCGGAACGCTGTTTTTTTGCACAGCTTTCGTTTTGATGATAGCTCTGCTGTGTGGTTGCGCAAGCAAAGTTTTTCGATGTCTTTTCCGATTTGAGGTTGGTCTGCTATGCTGAATAGAAGATGTCGTCGCAAAACGCTGTTTTTTGTACTTTATAATTTTAAAACTACTCTGCTATACTGCTTGAAGGTATACTTACTGAATCAAGTTTCGTACTACGTACTATCTACTCAAGATTAGCAATTTATTCATGCTCAAAAAAACGGTATATACCTTGAATGGAGAAGGAGAAAGCACTAGATGACTCCGCTTTGAAATAAATCGTTAGTAGTCAGCGTAGTGAAGTACCAAAAGCAAAAATAGTACAGATTTGAGTTCTGCAGCTAAATCGCTCCTACGGCATGATGGAACATTCAAAAACAAAGAAAGTACATTCGCAACTCGCTCATCCAGTATAGTAAACCAGTTTCAAAATGAGAAAGACGTCGAAAAGGCCTCGCCTTGCAATAGTTCTTCAGCGGGATTTAGACTGAAAGGGTTTTACTCGACGATGAATCGGTTTTTCCAGCATCGTAGACGATCGAAAAACGGAATCCGGATCAAATGAACCATACCTGCAATAAATTACTAGCATCTAGTGCCAATAGGCTCTCGCTACGCTACAAAGATAAAATCTGACACAGTGCGCTTCAGCTGCAATAGCGGCACCGGCGCGAAAGCAGCTACCGATTGCAAAAGCGACAACCGGCGCGGACTGGAGGCTCCCTAAGCTGTTTCTGAGTGACTATTGAAATCTTTTTGAGGACCAAGTGAGCGAGTAACTAAGCAGGTACGGTCATCGCTTTATGAAATAAGCCAAATGAAAATTAGCGCGCTTTTGCATTTTCAGACTTTTTATGAAAATGATGCTAATTAGTCTCGTGTCTATTCCTCATAAGTTCCGAATATTAGGTTGTATTGAAGTTCCTGCAGATTTTTCAAAGAAAATGAAAAAGTGTAACAATACTTATGCTACGACCTAAAATGTTTATACTTTGATAACCAGTTTTAATCGTCTTTTTTCAAGCTTATATGATAAAATGCAAAAAACTGCTTTCATAGAAGCTTGAGTGCGAATAACACAGGTGGGCTGATTCTTGCAGACAAACTCATTACTGATTTGAGTTTTATTCTGTGCGAAAGAGAAAAGCTGCATGAGATCAAGCCGTTCTGGCACTCCATTTGCGATGGTAAGCAGACTTTGCCGCTGCCCATAATAAAAACAGCATTCATCTTTTCTATCAATTTAGCTGTGAAGAATATAGGCTACTAGCTGGCTTACCCGGCTCCGCCGTATGTTCCGAATAGAAAATTCCATTTCTCAACCGATCCGGACCAAACTTGGCACACATACACTTCGGGCCCCAGCGGGTGTCACAGTCCACTTTTCGTTATCGATCGATGTCGATTTTATCGATTTTTTGCAAAATTTGAGCTAGGGGGCTGGAATTTGGCAGAGGGGTGTAATCGAGCATGCTGATCACCCTCACGGGGGTGATCAGCATGCTCAAATTTTGCAAAAAATCGATAAAATCGATATCGGTCGATGACGAAAAGTAGCCTATGACACCCGCCGGGGCCCAAAGTGTATGTGTGCCAAGTTTGGTCGCGATCGGTTCAGAAATGGAATTTTCTATTCGGAACATACGTACAGACAGACAGACAGACAGACATACAGACAGACAGACAGACAAACAGACATTCAGCTTTATATATAAGATTTGAGTGCAAAAAATTCAAGATTTTAGGATAAGGGGTTAAGTAACATTGGAGTCGATCCGACACAGAAATTTATTACAGAGCTGAAAGATTAGTGTTCTGCGAAACATTAACGCCCTAGCACATATTGTAGCAATCTTTTAACCATAGATATTGTGCTAGTTTACTGCACAGAATCACAAAGGTTGTTTTTTGAAAACAATACGCGACAATGACAAGGACATGGTCCGGAAAAGAATGTCATGTCAAGTGCTATCATGTAATATTACGAGATTTACGAAAAAAAATTATGTGAAGTACTTTCGATAGAGCTAAGCAAGTATAAGCTGGAGCTAGCTACCTAATACTTCACATAATTTTTTCTGTAAATCCTCCGTAATATTAGGTCATTCCGAAAGTAATTTCGCTTTTTTCAAACGGGCGCCCATTTGATCAGACAAAGGTTTCTAAGAGATCTTGATAGCATTCGACACAGCATCTCATCCTCTTTCTAATGGCTATGAAGTTGTTGCAAAGCAGTCAATGAGCTTTCAGAAAATAACCAAAATCTGCGACCTGTGCTTTCTGAGATGGTCAAGTTTGACAATTTTTTAAAACTTTCATATCAATCCTCAAAAGGAGCTCAAGTTCGATTAGATAGAGCAAACCTTATAAAATACAGCACAGCTTCTTTCTCTTTCTCGTAGCTCGCCGTAATTTTTTAACAGATTTTTTTACAGAACCATCGGTTTTGGCAGGCCCACCTCAGCCACAATCGTATCAAACATCATAATTTTTCGGAATTTGAGAATACCAAGATGGTACTATGATTTAGCATTAGTTTCACAAAGCAAGGGAGGGTTTACGGGTTCGAAATATCAAATCTCGCGTTTTTCGGGTACAGCCTGGGGCTCGCTAAAAATAACGAGTTATGATGATTTCTCCCCGGAAACTAAACGAATCGGAACAAAAAACACCCCTTAGAAAAAGGAAAAAATGCTGCATTGAACAGTGCGCGAGCTGCTAGAATGCCCATCGAATAGTGCGCGAGCAGATTTAGCTGCCCAAGTATGGAAATCGGTAGCATTAGTTAAAATTTTGTTAAAGACGTATGACAAGCTATGGAAAGGAGGAAAAAGTAGTTTTGCATTTTGTAGGGATTGCTCTATAAAGACGTTACTTGCCCTTTTTCGGAGGGTTGATATAATAGCTTTAAAAAAATTGTGAAACTTGACTATCTCAAAAAGCATAGGTCGCAGATGTTGGTTATCTTCTGAAAGCTCATTGACAGTTTTGTAACAATTTCATAATGCTTTTAAGATCTCTTAGAAATCTTTGTTCGTCAAGTGTGGCGCTCGTTTGAAAAAAGCGGAATTACTTTCGGAATGACCTAATATTATGGAGGATTTACAGAAAAAATTATGTGAAACTAGGTTGTCCGGAAATTAATGCCCGTTTTGAATTTCAACCGCAATAAGTCATGCACCTCCCATTTCTACATAGGTTGCAGAGTATCATTCGATCGAGCAAAATAAGCTCTACAAGACGGCCATCTTGCTTTACAACAGCCCTCATCCACCTCGAGTTTCGAGCCAAAAACTAAAAAGGCTAAGCAGCCCGAAAAATCGAAGAAAATCGTAACTCAGTTCACAAAAATCCTACAAAAATTCTTACTTGCTCACGTAAACACTATCCACATAAATCATCTATATACGTCTTTGCCGTATTTTTTCCTCTGTTAGAAATCAAAAAAACGGAAATTTTCATGCATTTGCCAAAGTGGTGTTGTGCCGTCCTCACATAGGTAGTTGTATACTACAAATTTGTAGAAGTACAAACTTGAATTCTCAGCTCTCTACAAGCTTTAGTTCTCCAAAAATTTGAATTTTAGATTGGACCACCTAACTAGGGAAAGCTGTATTCGGTATTTCTCGAGAACTAAAGCTTGTAGAGAGCTAAAAATCTAAGTCTGTACTTCTACAAACTTGTGGTATGCAACTACCTATGTGGAGACGGCACAGCATCACTTTGGCAAATGCAGAAAAATTTCCGTTTTCTTGGTTTCCAACAGAGGGAGAAATACAGCAAAGGTGCATATAGATGTTTTATGTGAACAGCGTTTACGTGAGCAAGTAAGAATTTTTGTAGAGCTTTTATGAATTGAGCTACGATTTTTTTTCGATTTTTTGGCTGCTGAGTTTTTTCAGTTTTTGGCTCGAAACTCGAGGTGGATGAGGGCTGTTGTAAAGCAAGATGGCCGTCTTGTAGAGCTTATTTTGCTCGATCGAATGATACTCTGCAACCTATGTAGAAATGGGAGGTGCATGACTTATTGCGGTTGAAATTCAAAACGGGCATTGATTCCCGGACAACCTATACTTTCGTCAGAGCAAAGCAAGTACAAGCTGGAGCTCAAACTTTCGCACCATATTTGATTCAAGTGATGATTGAGGAATAGGGTTAGAAAATTCTAAATTGTGTGAAAAATCGAAAAAAACATATCGCCGTTGAAAAACCTACTAAATCCCAGCTTGTTCCAGCATATATTCGACATTTGTATGCACAATTTCGTGAAATTTCGATGGCTAGAAAACAAGAAAACGAAAATCGGCATGCTTTTGCAAAAGCCGATTTGGGCTTTTCCTAGTTAGATGCTTTTATAATTCAGATTGAAGATACACCAAGATCTCAGCTTCCTTAAGCGCTCGTTTTCGGAAAATATCAACAAAAACCCAAAAATTGCTACACTCCCTTATTTTTGGCCTATTTTTGTTGTATCCATTTTAGCCACGGGAAAATCTACCAACAGTATGATCGATATAAACAGTAAATGTGCAAGCGAATTGAAAGCTCGTAGGAAAAAAAGGTGATTCAAATTTTCGTTATGTGAAATTTTCTACAGTTTGACTTCATTCACGTGAATCAGAGCTTGAGTGATGTCTGAATCCCAACTTGTAAAGGTTGCTATGTTCTATCAAATTATACCCCGGAAACTCTGTTTACACCCTGCCGTGGATACGAAATCAGTTTTCGGACATCCTTATAGAACCGCAAAGTCTTACATGGCCTCTGTGATCTTCTGATCCTTGAGGCCTCGATCATTCTCCAGAAACTCTGCAATCATAAAGCGTAAGCGCGATGTGACAAATTACCAGTTTGCTCTTACCTCTTATCGACTCGGTGTCTACTTTGTACTTTTCTTCTTCAATCTTTCGGACGTGACAAATTACTAAATCACCACTTACTCTTATCTCGGTGTTATACTTTTTTTCTCCAATGTTTAGTCCTTCTTCTGTATCTGTATAGAGTTTACTCCATTTGTCAGTATCGTAGCCCTAGAATCATAGACTACACTTTATGCAATTTTTCTACTCCGCAACTCAACCTGGATAAGTAGAGCTGTTATAAAGTTGACCAAAATCTCATCTGCATTGCTTTCTACTTTTACCCTATCGTAAACATCATCAAGATACGTTTTGTGATCTGCTCCTTCCAGTTCTCTTCTTTTGTCATTGTTGTAGTTGGCTGCTTGCCGCACAGGCTGTGAACATTCTCTTTAATACTTAGTAATTGCAAGATTCGCAAAAAGCGAATAACTAAATCTATTTAGAAAATGCTACTGTAAGCATTCAAAGCCCAGCAATTCGCTTACCTCCATAGCAGCAATGACTCGCATAATGTCCAGTATCTTCTCAGATGTTTCTATTTCTTGCAATTGTTTGATTCTATCAAGGATGCTAGGTGGACGGTGTATTTTCAAGTAGAACTCAACCCATGTCATCTCAAGTTTGTTGTCTTCATAATTTGCCTTTATGCACTAAAGAGGTTCAAGGGCTTGAAAATACATTGCGTTATTGAGGTGACCAAATTTAACAGAAAAAAGCTTACTCTGATAATTTGTCCTCTGACTCTCGTAAGCATTGCAGTGGCTTGGGTTTGCTTAAATAGCACTCTCTTTAAGATACAGATTTGATAGCGAGATAATGTTATCAACATCTCTTATCCAATATTTCAACTATTTTGTCTCAAAGAATTGATTCGAATTCTCTGTGCCCTAATTAGCTAAGCCGCTAACACATGCCCGTAGGTGCGAATCCAACTGTGCAGAGATCTGGGCGCAAAAACACCCAATTAGGTATGGCAGCCGTAATTGAGAAAGAAGCAAAAAATGAGGAATATTTAGGCAATGCTAAGATATTCGATTCACTAATTGTTCAAGTAGCATTTTTCGCGGGGAGGGGGTTTAGAATACGTGAAAGCTAGCCGGCTTGAATTAATACCGGGTTTGGTCCAAATTCGCGGAAAATTTGATTTTTTTGCATATTTCCACCGACCACCAGGCGGTTCTTTTCCCAGAATCGAATATTCCAAGGTGAAAAACTTGAACAGCAGGTACCACACAGAACATAAACGTAGTTTTGACTCTTCAATTAATCTATCTTTTGTATCACGGTCTTGGAAATGAGGCACCGCATCGTTAAGGGATCACACGCACCTCATTTCAAGACCACGTACCTAGAAAACCGTTTCATATAAGAAACCGAATTCAAACTATTCTGTTACAAGAGTACTTGTGTTCTACAGATTACGAAGTCTTTTGACCAGAGATGAATAGCTTTGAAAATTATGAGGCTGTGAAATCCGCACATAGCGTCTGCGAGCTAACACGCTATTGAAGGGCTAAATCAGCCAGCGTCACATCTGGTAGGTCGAAAGTATTGATGAAACACTGCAAAGCAATTTGCTTTCAATTCGCTCAAAAAATCTATTATCTAGAATCTGCTTATATATGACCTGAATCAGACGAAAATATGTCAACTAATCACTAAATGCTGTGTGTAAAACCTTTTTTGTTAATCCGAAGCTTGCTAGGAACTCGAAAATCTATTTTTTGATCCATGAAACTTATTATCAAGGAAATTGGCGCCCTGCGACAGTTTTGCCGCGACAAATACGTCGCGATAGGTCAAACAAAAGTATTTTTAAAAATTAGACGTAAATTCTAAACCGCCAGATTTGTAGCAGTCCAGTGAGGTTTTCAGTTTCTTTTGAAAACTAATTAAAAGGAGTTATAGCATTGCGACGGTTTTGCGAAGATAAATATGCCGCGACGAAAAAATTCGTCGTAATCCGTTTTTTTTCCAAGAGTTAGGAGCCCAATTAGTATACAAGTATACAAGTAGTATAATAGCGCATTTACGAAAGGAACCTAGGGCCTAATTATTTGTTTCTAGTTTCTAGAATTAGTGTTCAATATGTCTAATACATGCGTAACCTAGTTCGTAGCTCGTAGAATTTTTCTTTGCGAAAAATTTCTTCCTTCCTTCTTTTTTTCTTTCCTTTCTTTCTTTTTCTAGGGGCGGACTTTGCCATTTTACTTCACTCATTTTTTGAATAATGATTATCGATTTTTAAAAAACTTGAATTTTTGAATGATTTGAATGTTTTTCGAGAACTATAAGCTCAAATTTTTCTTTTAACTCTATTTGGGTCACGATTTATGCGAATGTTCGGCGATCATCTTGTGAGATCTGCTTTGTCCTAATGAATAGTATCCTACTTTTTTGGTGTTCGCCCTATTGCGTTAGCATAAATAGCGCTATTTCAATGCTAGTATTTTTTGAATTTTGTTCTTCTACCTTAGGCATCATTGGTTGACTAGGCATCATTAGTTGATTTGTCGTATTGTTGGCTACTACCTAAAAAAATAGGAAACTATTTTTTTCACTTCAAATTACGTTATCTTTTTACTTGTCCAGCTTGTCCATTGCCGCGGTTCCTCGTATTGGTTTGTATGCGTGCCGCAGTGAAGTTGTTCCCTGTCTAAAACAATTTTTTTGAAATTTGTGCTCTCCATTTTCTCAAACAGTCATTCTGCGACAACCGCGTATTAAAAGCAGCGTCACGGCAGAATTTCGTTTTTCAGGTTTTCTGGGATCTTCTCGCCATTCGGAACCCATATCTTTGGCTTTTCAGTGCATGAAAATGGCGAACATGAGCTTTTTCCGAAGCTTTTTAGGTCCATAATCAGTGGCGAAGTGTGCGGGGCCAGGAACGAGGGAGGTGGGATGAGGCTTTTTCCGGCGTATCTTCATTGAATGCGAATCTGGAATGCTTCAGAAAAAACACATTTTCGCCATTTACATGCGTTGAAAAACTCAGAAATGGATTTCTTATGGCGAGAAGGCCCCAAAAACGTGAAAATCTCAAAAACGAAATTCTGCCGAGGCGCTGCCTTTGGTCTCCCTTTTGTAAGTTAGTGATATATTAATTAAAACCATTTTTTTATCACACGTTATAGTTACCTGTTCAGCTGTTGCGTTCATAAAATCTTCATTGAATGCGGACCTGGAAAGCTTCGGAAAAACCTCAATTTCGACTGATGTGCTTGTAGAGTTTGTTGCTGGTGCTACAGCTTGTGATGGGCTATAGCTTGGAGCTATAGGTAAGTAAGGCTAAAACGTTCTCTTTTCCGCTCCTGTTGTTTTGGTTTTGCTATAAATTATCTTACCTGACCAAATAAACTTGGAAGTGTTCCTTTGTTTGTACTGGTTTGTATGCGTGCCGTAGTAAAGTTGTTCCCTCTCTAAAATAATCTCTTTCAAATTTATGCTCTCCATTTTCTCGAGCAGTCATTCTGCGACAACCGCGTATTAAAAGCAGCGTCACGGTAGAATTTCGTTTTTCAGATTTTCTGGGACCTTTTGGCTTTTCAGCGCATGAAAATGGCGAACATGAGCTTTTTCCATAGCTTTTCAGGTCCACAATCAGTGGCGAAGTGTGCGGGGCCAGGAACGAGGGAGGTGGGGTGAGGCTTTTTCCGGCGTATCTTCATTGAATGCGGACCTGGAAAGCTTCAGAAAAAACACATTTTCGCCATTTACATGCGCTGAAAAACCCAGAAATGGATTTCTTATGGCGAGAAGGCCCCAAATACGTGAAAATCTCGAAAACGAAATTCTGCCGAGGCGCTGCCTTCAATCTCCCTTTTGTAAGTTAGTGATATACTAAATGGAACCATTTTTTTATCACAAGTTACATTATAATTACCTGTCCAGCAGTTGCGTTCATAAAATCTTCATTGATTGCGGACCAGGAAAGGTTCGGAAAAACCTCATTTTCGACTGATGTGCTTGTAGAGTTTGTTGCTGGTGCTACAGCTTGTGATGGGCTATGACTTGGAGCTATAGGCAAGTAAGGCTAAAACGTTCTCTTTTTCGCTCCTGTTGTTTTCGTTTTGCTATAAATTATCTCACCTGACCAGGTAAACTTGGCTGTGTTCCTGTGTTTGTATTGGTTTGGATTCTTGGACCTGTAATGTTCCTGGTTAAGTTTAATTTTCTTGTTGTTTTGGCGCTTTTTTATGCTTCGCTACAGCGTGGGCGCGAAAAAAGTTAACTAAAGAATTACTTGATAGAGCAAAATAAATTCAACAAGGTGATTACCAAACATCTGTTCAAATTGTCATCCGAGCAAGGTTTGAAACCAATTCTACAGATGCCAGGTTGCCTAGGTATCGCATCTTGGGTTGGCACAGGTGGCTTGTAAGCAAGCTGCGTATTATTTTTGAAACGAAAAGCAAAGAGGACAAGAGTATCGTTTTTGAGACCGAAAAGACACAAAAATTGTGTGGTTTTTTCAGTCGACGTTTCGTTTTTTCAGGGTTTCATGAGTGTTTAGGGTCAAAGAAATTTTGTAAAAATTTGCTAAAGTCAAGGGGGACTTCGTTGCATTTTCCAAAAGCCACTTGGTGCCGAGCCCTGATCGCATCTCTGTCGGGAAAATCCTCGGAGCCTCCGATTAGATCATCACTTGGTAGCTATATATTAACACACACATATAGATGCTCTGTCAAACTTTTCTTGAGCTAGATTTTGAGAAATAAGCTGAGAGTACGGAGCCAGCACTTTTCCAAGATTTTTTACATTTGATTAGCAGATAGCAGATAGGTAGGATAGCAGAAGTTTAAGGTTTGCAGATAATTGTCTGTTACATTTTTTTCCATTTATTCTGAAAAATTACAAAAGTTTTCTGAAATCTCCGATAACCATACTTGGGAATAGCAGGATCCACTCCAGCATGGCTGATGCCGCAGATGCACAAATGAACAGCAAGTTCACAGCAGTTCGGAAAGCACTCGAATTTTCAATTTACTCCAATCTTGTTTTACTGTTTTTTCTATGGCGGCACTTTGATGCATCTAGCATTAAAGAGAGGATAAAAATGTCAACAATTTCAAAAACTATCGAGTATTGCTTTGTCATGCGCATCAAGCAGAAGTCAACACAGGAAGCAAAAAAAGTGACTATTCAAGCTTTCTATATGCGTTAACCTGGTTAAAACCTTTATGGCCGCCAAGAAGATAACGCGCAATGGCATTTTAACGGCTCAGATAAAGGTTTGCGAAGATGACTGTGTCATCTTGTCCGGTCTCCGGCTCGTCACAAGAAGGCCATTTCGTTGAGCAAAAGGGCCACACAACAAAATTCCACCCATAGGGTGGGTGTTTTGCGCAAAGATCGCAGATGGGCATAGCTTCAAACTTGTCGGAATGTCGGAGGTGAATTTTGACACCCTTTGGAATTTTTAAAATATGAATTAAATGTGTAGCAAAAATTATCTGAAATTCTGCTAATAAATCCCTTGATTATCGGTTGTTAGAGCACAGATAGGAGGTGGACATTTCACGATTACACTTCCGAAGGTTTATATTAGGGTGTCCCGTGATTTTTTACTCTTTTCACTACACCTTTTTTTGTATTTTTCTTCAATTACTGCGTC